TAAGTGCCATTTGAAATTTTCTTTTAAAATTAGCATTTTTATCAGGCTCCTTTGTGTAGGTTCAGTAATTTGACTTTAATGGCAATGAATAGGTTCTTTTGAGGAAAATACTGATTTTAGAAGAACATTTCAGACGGCACTTAGAGGCTTTTGCGTCTGAACTCTTCAAATGTTCCTCTAATCAGTGCAGAAAATGTGAAAGTGTTCATGTCTTGGTGTGACTGGTGACATTACTCTGTTTAAACCCCTCAAAGTCTTGTCAGGCTTGAAACAAAAGCCTTCTTAAGTTGTTGTTTCTTCTAAGTGATTTTCCAGTGATGTGATTTTTGTGTGTGTGGCAGAAAACCCAACTCAAGCTTCAGGACATTGAGATCAAGACTGTGCAGGTAAGCCTGAAAAAGGAACAGAGGCGCTCCAGTCATATACAGGAAGACAGAGATGTTCTTGTGAACCAACTGCAGACTCAAATCCAGCAGCTACAGAAGGAGCGGAATGATTACTACTCAAAGATGCAGGAGCTAAAGGTGATCATAGGGCTGTAGGACATGAACAATTACATAGTTAATCTTGCTCACAATACAGCACACAAAAATGGTCAGCATTTGCCATTCCATTGCTGGAATATAGAAGAGCATGTGTGCTCTGTTAAATACTAATGTTTTATGTGGCATCATTTACAGAGTGATTTGCAAGAGAATCAGAAGAAGGTTGGAGAAATGGAGGCAGAGCTCCAGAAAGCCAATAACAAAGTGTGTAATATGGGACACATGCTCAGCCAGCTGTCCATCAAGGTAAGACTTGTTTATGACAAAGATATTCTACATAAAACACTATCACACTGCAATAATAATTTGAAAGCAAAATTGTAAAAGCAAAAAAATAAAGGTCTTCACTGCAAAAAATGCTTTTCTAGCTTAGATCTTTTGTCTTGTTTCCAGCCAAAATATCTAAAAATTCTTAAATCAAGAAGGATTTTCTAGACAAGTAAAAATTATTGTCTTGTTTTCAGAAAAAACAAGTCAAAATTAAGTGAGTTTTTGCTTGAAACAAGCAAAATAATCTGCCAATGGGGTAAGAAAAATAATCTTGTTTTCTCTTTGAAACAAGATTATTTTGCTTGTTTCAAGCAAAAACTCACTTAATTTTGACTTGTTTTTTCTGAAAACAAGACAATAATTTTTACTTGTCTAGAAAATCCTTCTTGATTTAAGAATTTTTAGATATTTTGGCTGGAAACGAGACAAAAGATCTAAGCTAGAAAAGCATTTTTTGCAGTGTTATTTATTGATTTGCTTGATTTTGATTTGTGTTCCTGATTTATCCAACCACAGCTGAACAATAGTGAAAACATGGAGCAGCAGATGGCTTTCCTGAACAAGCAGCTGCTGCTTTTGGCTGAAGCCAACAAGTTATGTGTGGAGGAAATCGACCGCTTGGGGCCTGAGGTTAGCAAGGTAGGCAGTGATTATTAACTACTGACTTATCATGACTTATGACTTGCATCATAGCGTAAACCAGTGGATCTCTAGTTTGTGTCAGTTTTATTTTTTAACAGCACTTGAACACTATAAAATAGTGGCTAATGCGATTAATTCTTATACCTGAAAAATATGCTGATTGTTGACTTGATCTCTTGTGACTGTTAGGAGCTGAATATGCTGCAGGCATCTTCACTGCGTGAGGTTGAGCGTTTGAGGCAGAGCTCTCTGCAGCAGAGTCAGAGACTTGAAGCCGCCACACAGCGCATCACAGACCTGGAGACCCAACTCCCCAAGAAAGAGCAAGTCATCCGAGAGCAAAAGAAACTGCTGGAAAATGTCAAAAGCCAGGCCATGTATGAGTTTACCTCCACCTTCATTGTCCTGTTGAAAGTTCAAATTCATTTTAGGGGGATTATATTATATTATAATATTACAGGGTTTTCAGAACTGATTTACCGGCTGAACACCTTAAAATATTTACTTGATGTACCCCTTGATATTTTATGTTAATATTTAAATATTTAACACATTTGTATGTTCATGGTTCTCTGATGATTGTCAAATGCAGGCAAACAAATAAAATTGTTTTAGTTTGATTTTGTTTGCATTTTTAAATAATTAAAATAGGTAAATACTAATTTTAACTTTACGTTTTTTATGATTTACTTGTTATATTTAACAACTAGTGAAACCCTGTTTTTTATGTATTAGGTATGATATCTTTGCTAATGATGCAAATGATAGATCTAATAAAGTGGTGCTGTATTGATCTGTACAGTATGGATCATCAGGTTCTGCTCATCTCTTCAACAGCATCTTGCTCTAAGATTTGCCTATTTAATCCTTGTCTGCACTGGTTTTTTGTTTCCTGTAGGGAGCAGCTGCAGGCTTCAGAGAACAGGTATCTGGCCCAGAAGCACATCACTCAGGCATTACAATCTGAGCTACTTGAGCTTTATAGCCAGATAGAGCTCAAAAACCTGAACACTAAATCACCAGCAGAGCCCACTTCTGAGCCCAACAGTCCTCCCAACCAGAGGTATGTTCCATATTGTCATGCACATATGTTTCTCCTCCACAGACTGATTTACAAATACAAATGGTGTGTTCTGTAATGCATTCTAGACTTTACAGGGCAAAATATGTGTATTGTACTTATGTGTATAAGTGTAGTAGAATTCTATTTCCATTTGTGTTTCAGGCCAAATGGCAACAGTACAGGCCCATCTGCTCTGTCTCTATCAGCCGACCCCATGAAAAAAGAGGAAGGCATGCACGTGTTTATCAATGGTGAAATATCTACCGGGTCTCCTCAGACACCCACAGCACTCATTAATGGCAGTCAGGAAGAAGATCTTTCCGCCCTTACCCGTTCATTTCCCGCCCTCCCCTGCGACTCCCCGCTGGCAGTTGGCTCTTACCCCAGTACCGGAAGCTTTTTGGGTAAGAGAGCCAGAGAGATGTTTCGAAATAAGAGCGAGAGCCACTATGAGGGTGAGCCGGCCGCCTTTACCTGCCTCTCTAAGGATATTAAGGTTGAGGCAATCACAGACCCCACAGAGAGCATGGAGCTTGAAGAGGCTATTGAGCAGGCTGACCTGCAGCCCATGGACAGACCCCGGGCGTATAATATTCAGCGGAGGAGGCAGCAGGATCTGAGAATCATGGACTACAACGAGACCCACCATGAGCATTGATTGTACACTGCTGACATGATTGCCCGCAGTTAGAAGAGGATCATTTTGGACCCAGTATTAGAATGCACTGCTCTTTTTGTTAGAGTGGTTTGCAAAGTTTTAGTTCATTTTAAAAGCTCTTGTACTACAAAACGCCAAAAAAAGAAAAGGGTTGTCACTTGGCATTTGCCATGTAGTCACCACAGTGGCAAGAGAATAGCTTCACTTACCTTCTGTTTAATATGAATTCATTGTAATTCAGTATATATATATATTTTTTTTTTTCGGCATTTAGTGAGCAACCGTGGTGATTATATTGCGTTGGATGTTATTCGGGCCTCACTGTACTTTTCAGCAAATGTATTGGCTTAATCACTGTATTTGCTCTTGTAATAGTACCGTTCGGTTTCCAATCCTCCTTAATTTTTACACGCAAAATGCCCCCTCGAGTCGCTGCAAGATGAGCATTGTTAATTTCCGCTGATATGACTCAGAAATTGCACATTACTGAGTGTGATCATTGCAAATGCAGCACTGTAAATAGATCATGCCAACCAACCCATCAGTTTGATTAAAAATGTGAAAAACAAAAAAAAGAAGCTATGTGAAATAGGTGAAGTAGGGTAAGAAATCACATTTCTTTGCTGAGGCAAGCCGTGTATATGCCGTAGCAGTGGCTTCGCCTATAGAGAATAAGCAAGTCTTGTGTTGTTTCGAATAATAGATTTTATTTTTATGCATCAAGTTCTCCGCTGGGATTGTAGCGCCCAGTCACCAGTGCAATACTTCTTAGCTAACACTTCATGCCAGATCGAAGGTATGAGTGGTGATGGGAAAAATAAACCGATTTAGATTGCTGCTTTGCAGGACCGTCAGAGCCTTATAGAACACAGGCCAGGCTGCTGTAGGTGCATTTGTCCAGTTGAGACCTGTTGTGCAACGAGAATATCTTTTTGGTCTAAGATGTGTCTGATGGGTGAATGCTCTTGCGTTAATAGCGTACAAAATACGGCCACTGCAATACTTTGACACACTAAACTCTGAAAGGAAGCTGCTCGCTATAAGCCAGAAGGCTTATGTCCCTCTATTATATTCTTTAATTTTTGTCTTACACAGGTCATACCCCATCTGCGAAGAAAAGGCTTCTTATAATGGGCTGCAGCTGGCTGAAGTAAAAGCACTTCTTTTTTTTTTTAAATTCATGACTTCTTAAGATTGCTGAACCTTAGCAGAGCAATATACTTGTCTCTTTCTAAAAAAACTTGCCCCAAGGGTTTGTTTTCAGTGCAGGATATTATTGGAATATGTGAAGTGCAAAGAAAATAAAATGCTGGCTTCAGCCTGCCAGCTGGGTAAATGGCTCAGAGAGTTTACAATGAGAATTGAAATCTATGGAAATCACTGCTGTTTTTCTTTCTGTTTAGACTGTTCTTATCACAGTTCACTACGAGTGTGGTCTTACAGCTTGTGCTTCATTTCCGTCACTCAGACTTTACTTTCTGTTTTTATACCAAAAGCCCTCTCAAACATTTTGTTGTTTCATGAAATGCCTTACTGAAAAAAGTAGGAAGTCTGTCCGTCACCTTAAGTCTTTTGTTGAAAGTTATCTGAACTATGGTACAACCAGACGGTGACGGGTGTAACAGGTAACCTGTTTTCTCTGGTTTTGAGAAAACAGATTTGTGTTGTCCTACTTGCTATGATCAACAAAAAAAATAAAATAAAATATATGTTTTGCATATTTTTGTCATAGTCATCGATTTTAAAATGGTATTTGTATATTTAATAATACTTTGTGTGACAGCTCACTGCAATACATGCATAAGTGCTGAAGAAGTGTTTTTTATCTCCTTGTATTTCCTGGTGGCTTCCAGGCTGGTTTTCCAGCATGCCAGCCACCTGCACCTTTTTTATATCTACTCAGTTTGTTACTGGTGTCTTTATCAAGGCCTTCAACCATCTCTGCATTTTTTGCAACCGTTTGTTGAGATGTTTCTGTAGCTATTGGAGTGACACGTTGAGCACCTCCTCTGCTGTAGGTGTTGAGGAGGTCTAGAGCCAGTGGAATCACACTCACAATCCCACCATAGAAATTTCTTGCTTCATCACAGCTTAGCCGGTTGATCTCATTGTGTGGATAGCTGTGAAGTAGGAAAAAAACATCAACTGAGATTCGTTACCATGTGATTTCAATCAATGTGCAAAATAAACTATAGCATCCTTATGCTGGATAATTTTAATATAAATTTAAATAACTAGTGTGATTTTCCTGTCACTTAACTGTGCTCTTAGCTGACTGATGTTGCTGTTGGGGCTCAGGATCTCCCTGCAAGTGTTCAGGCCCTCACTAGAAGTGTTTTTGCTTGACAGTGAAGACTCCAAATGTTTTAAAACACCTTCAAGATCAGAAATAATTTCCAAAAAGAGCAAGAAGATGCGTCTGTCTGTGGAATTGCTGCAGTGGTGATTCATGTACCTTTGGACCTACAGAGGAACATCATTATTTACTAATAAGGTCAAACTTAAGATCAGTGTTACAGTCTGTGTAATTACATTAGTATGTATTTAGTGCAACTAATTAGCAATAATATGTGGAACTTATAAGTACACATACACTTTATTTATTTAGTCATTTATCAGACGCTTTTATCCAAAGCGACTTACAAATGAGGACAACAGAAGCAATCAATTGTAGTATTAAAACAACTAAAAACAGATCCAAATCTAAAAGCTAAAACTTTATAAATACTACCTATACACTTTTTAAAAATAAAGAGATTAAATAAAAATGACAAATGCATACAACAACATTTCAAAACTTGACATTTAAATGAAAAACAAAAAAATAAAGCTAAAAAAAATTCTAAATATTAAAGAACAAAAGGTATGAGAGTATAATAATGATTCTAACATAACACTAAGCCAAACACCAAAAAAAACAACTACATACGTACGTGTATGTACAACCACACACATATATATATATATATATATATATATACACATACACATACACATTTATAAATTCAGTATATATATTTCATTTCCATTTAGTTTGTTGAAGTATTAAAATAACTCAAATAAAACTAAAAACTTAATAAAAGATCATAAATTCAGACATAATTTAACTAAAATTAAAATAAATAACAAATACAAATAATACAAATCAAATGACAGTAGTTTATCAGTAATCCTAAAAAATAACACTGCCAAACACACGTGCTAAAAAACAACAA